AATGATCTATTATCACTATCTTGACAAAAAAGAACGTCTCGTATTAATTTCATATTTGGGTGTCTTAACCGGAAATAAACTAGAAATGCACGTAAACTTGATATATGGAAAGAATTTATAAATGATTATGTGTCTGTAGACTATAGTTCACAAGAACAGTCATGTCTGGATTTGGTGCATAAATTCAGCTAAAAAAAAAAAAGAAAAACAATATTCAAGAAACACTAAAGAAGTAATTTTGAATCAAAGCCACCAGTTATCACCATAAATTTCTTCATATTTGAAGCTCACCATAGAATAGTAATTAGCTGCTGTTTTGGTGACCCACGAAACTCATCATTAATCCGATGCTCCAAAATCCAGACAACAATACCAATAAAAACAAAAAAGGCAGCAGTGACTCCCCACATTTGGCGAGAAAACGGCCTTAGAAAAGCCCAAGCACCCGTGTTCAACTTCCTGAATGGGGCAACCACCACAAGTCCAGAAGCAGCATATGGCTGCGTAAAATCCACGATCCTCGTTCGATTTGTGACGATGGCAATATCCCCCACCACACCATCAAAGTACTATCACAATCATCAATCAGATGTGATTAAATTAGTCAAAATTTACGCAGAAGATTAAACAAAAGCACTGCAACTTTAGCCATCAATATGAACAGGCATGGGATTAACACAAAATGCTCTCTTAAGTTTAGGCTAGTGACATGAAACAAAATAGACTGCAGTTTTTAAGGGGATTAAAATTCGAAGTTGCGTTTTGTCCAACTACAAGGGTGTGTCTTGTAATATTCAGCAACTCTGGATATCTTTGTGAATCATCCAAAACCTCCAGGAAGATAATGTAATTGTCCCATAAACATATATACGTGGGGTCAACCAAAAACGCTATCACTTAGATTTCGCCTTAATTACCGAAAAATTTCCAGTTATGTTTGAAATCAGAAATGATGCATCTCTAATTTATAATGTTTAATGAAATATAGGGGAGTAGTAGCTTCGGATAAGGACATGCTTGTTTTAGTAACTATCAAGAATGATCACTTACTCCGGTAGTGATCAACTTCACCATCTCATTATAATCCGGATTGTCTTTCCCATTACCATACGGAATAAACTGATATGGAACAGCATAAGGCAGCAAATACACAGCGGCTGTGAAAACATCAATGCAGAACCCCTTCGAGGAATTACTGCCCGGCACCTGTGATACGAACTCCCGAAAGCCCACCCTACGCGGGACCCCAATCCTCAGCTGCCTCCCATTGTTCGGGAAAACCCATCCACGTGGGGTCCGCACCGAATCGCCTGGCCAAACAACACTGTTCAGCTTCTGA